TGTTTACGTTTTCATTCCTGTATTACAATAATTAATATGATGCACGATGACACGAATTGGCAATATTGTATTTCCTAACCTGGGGCTAATTACACGGTCGTTGCCGCTGAACCGTTCATCTTCAGTATTGAATTAAATCACAATTTATTCTACCCTTATATCTTATTGAATGAACTATCGCAACTACAACCTGGAACTGGACTAAGAGTCAAGAACTAATAGGAAGAAGCGGTTTTCTCTGTTCTCCCAGCTAGTCATTTGCCACATTCTATCGAAAATCGTTTTGGACAATTTTTCCACGATTAAACGCTTTAATGCTCTGTCTGTTGTTTACCTTTCGATCACCGTGTCGGGCGGATTTGACCACAGTGTGTTGTTGTAGCGTTTGTGCGTGTGCGTCATGCGTGTACAACATGATTATATTACACGCGGCGGCTATCTAAATATTATTATATTTTATACATAAACAGCTTTATTTTATAGTGGATTGCGTATTGTACACGTTTACTTTGATGGGCATATCAGAGGCGTCACGGATCTCGGTGGGTCGCCGGGCGGGCCCGTAAAAGTGTTTACGAGTACTGGGCGTTTTATACCACCACCGTGTAATTCATTAGTTAATTGCCGGACGCGCGCACTGTTTAATTAAAATTAACGGTTATAATATATGCGCGAGACGTAAACCCTGGGCGGGGTGCAGCGGGTGGATCTGGGAGGCGTCTTATACTTAGGCGGCGTAATTAAAACTGAGCGGCCTACCGAGAGCATTAATATGGGACGGGCGGGAGCCGCTTTTACATTTCTCTCTCACTCGCTCTCCGGAGCTCACTCACTCATTCTGTCTTGCCGGGTATTAGGGGGTCCCTTTTATGAGGAAATCGGCATGCCATTGGGTAGGGGTAACACACCGTAGTACCACTCTGTCATATTTAGTGAGCGCATTGATTAAGCAATCTATACGCAAACTGCTGGTGGTTTAATTAATTAAATTTTATCGAGTCAAGAAGTGCTAAAATGCACTTTGGCCTGGACGTTATACTATCTATATAATGACCATATATTTATATGTATATGTATGTATGTTCAGTGCATATTTTACACACACACCTACCGGGTTATGCAAACAGTCGACTATGTGAAACAAAGTTATAATAATAACAGTTAGTTTAGGGACCGGAATTTCATGCTCTAACAACGACTGAAAGATGCATTTATGTGCTAGAAATGATTTAATCAATTATGACACAGATGCGCTTCAGTATTAGGTATTTAATTTTCTTTTATTATTATTTGTTTTTTGCATGTTTTAGTGAAAATATGTTATATTAGTACACAATTATTTATAAATTATAACATTGTCACATTAGAAATCACAAATAAAACATCTTATACAAACAAAATAATTGTTAACTTTCTTTTTCGTCTAACAATATATTAATTTATTTTATAACTAGATTTATAATTCTATTTTTTCATAAACAATTTTTCTCTTTTTTTGTTGGTTGCTAACAAGACATTTTTATAATATGTTACACAAATCGAAAATATAAAGAAAAAAATGCGTAAAAATTGGAAACGAAATTCTATGTATTTATAATTATAATTATTCAATTATACCTACATTTCAGTACGAATAATAAAACTGAAATAAATCATTTAGAGTTTATAGTGTAGGTAGCTAATTCAAATTTAAAACTCGCCTAGTTATTTTCCCTGCCATTAAGTAAAAATACGTAAATGCATGAACTTTCGGGCCCTGGATATAACTGAGTAAGCTGCACACAACGATAATTATTTTGAGTAATATTTCATTTAAAAAACTATTACATTTACTTTTTTTTATAATAAAACTGTCACAATATTTTCACATCATGTTTGCTCAAGAAATTAAAAATTATACATGAACTATTTTCTAAATATCATACAAATAAATAATAATATTACATCCATAGTATTTTCCCATCAAATAAACGCAAAAATTGTAAATGTGTATTTATTTTTAAAATGCTGCTTTTGTATTATTTATCTTAGCTTTTTAATGTACTTACCCTAATACCTATTTAATGTTATACATATATTTTTACACAAAATAATTGTGACACCTAAGTCGATTTTTAATTTAATTACTATTTTTAACCATTAAATAAACAGTGCGTGATTTTAATTTTTTTTTAAAGTTGAACGATCACCTTGAAGTATGTAAATTCTATAATTGTATTATACTCTAATTCAAAAATAATTTTCAAATATTTCTTCATTTATTAGTTGTAGGTTATCTGTGACCTATATTTTTAATTTTCTACTTTATATTGAACAAGTATTCGCAATAGTATTTATGATGTTAAAAGTTTACCAAAAAAATAAAAATAAATTAACACATAAGAAATAGTAAATGATGGATTCTTACTCTTTGTTAATGCAACCGGTAAAAATATGCTCAATACAATTTGCATGTTGTTTGTTATTACAAGTATGTATGTTTACTATGAGTCGTGAGTTTTGTGTATTTTGAGAATTTTATTACAAATATTTAACAGTATTTCACATATTTGCAAGTACATTCATTCGTGACTGGGTAAACAGTCATTTCATATGAGTCGCATAGTTTCGGATCAACTGATGGCTTTATTTGACTTTCAATCGTTATTCTATAACTAATACCATACTAAACGCGCTTAATAAATTTAACAGGCCGGTCTATTTAACGATGTCGGAATATATTACATAGTTAGTATGTTGATCGAATCATTAGTTTTTAAAAACGATGTAATTTATAAGCACATTTTTGATCAATTTGTTTAAACGAAAAATATTGGTGTTTTAGAAAAAACGGTAATAGCATACACAAGCATAACCATAACGTAGCCAAAAACCTATAAATTAACCTCACTTTTACTATTGCGAAGTTTATAAATGCATAATATTGTAAAGTTTATAAATATTACCTCATCAATATATACCGGGTGATTATTTTAACGCCCTACACCAGTTTTCTCTTAAAATAGTTGATAACTTTTAGTTTTTCTTTTTGAAAACATTTTTGTTTATGCTTTATTACAATATTTAAATTTTTATCTATTTTAGTATTTTCTAAAGCTTTATCAACTTTTGAAACTTAAATGATAACCTATATAATATTCTATTAACTTTTAAAATTAAAAATGATTTTCTGAACATTTTTACTGGTCGGGATAACCAGTTTTGAATAAATAGTTTTAAAGTTATTAAAATTTTTAATTTAGAACAGGACGAAGGCTGGTGAGTAGAGTTATATTCTGAACTGCGCGCGTTTCTCAACCACACTCCTAAATTTTAAATAGCTTGAATAATAATTATTCAAAACTGGTTATCGACCAGTTAATTTTTTCATTAAATTATTCTTAATTAAAAAAATTAAATTAAACATATAAGTTACCATTTAAGTCTCAAAAGTTGATAAACCTCTAGCAAGTAATAAACAAGGTACAAATTTGAATATTTTCTAATAATGTACTATAACATAAATAAAATATTTTCAAAATGAAATACTACAAAATTTTAATTATTTTAACAGTAAACTAGTGTAGGGCGTTAAAAGAATCACCCGGTATTTATATTAATAAAAAGGAACTCCGTTTGTCGCTATACTCTCGATTTTTTCTGCAACCACTGCCACCCACTCGTGTAGTAACAACCCACTAGTTGTGTGAACGTTTAGCCCATTTATAATTTGAGAGTTTAGTCGGGGTGGGTGTAGGTGGTGTGTGAGCATGAGCGTTTTGAGTGGTCAAAGTAGCTCTTTCGTACCAACGGCGTTTAAATGATGAGAAAGTAATTATTTGTAGTAAAATAATAAACAAAACAATAAACGTGGTCGGGTCTGGTTTGAAATTATTTTACTATACCTACTCAGTACTCGTACTACTATTATTATAATCCAAATTTCTACTTTTTCCCGGCCAGCCGCGGGAATACAAAACTATATGGCTTGCAATACTACGTCAATTTAGTTTAAGCTAGTAATAAAAAGTAAGAACTTAACATTCTTGTACAAGTGGAAAAGTGAAATGCGAATAGATAAATTTTAAAAAAACCTTCTAGAATCTTCTTGGCATAACTTTGCGATCGTATGGGTCTTCGCCCCCGCCACCGAGATTTTTGCCTATGCAATCTAGTTGTTGAATATGAACTTAATTGTTGGGGTCTTTGCTTAACGTTGTACGTTATTATTTCAGATTTTTTATTAAAACTTATTTTTGTTGCGATATTAAAAATCGCTTATGTTATCGAAACGCCAATTGACAATATTAGATTATAACTAATTTATTATTTGAATTATATTTCTTACTCAAATAAAACGAGGAGGAAACGTGAAAAAGGTTGGTAAGATTTGAATAGACAAATATATGTTATTTCAATCTGGCAGACGCCTATTTGCGGTGTAGCAGTTGTCGAAACGGCAATATCGAAATTGAACAATCCTATCCCGGTATATATCAATCACCCTCAATGCGAACCTCATGGGACCACCGCCGCTTCCGCCGTCGTCTCGGTACCGCTTTGAAGTCTCAGGAAGCCTTTAGCGAAGGTGTTCGTGGTTCAGGGGCGGCGGCGGCGACAATTCGTGGCGTAGGTACATAAGATTCCGGCGCGACGGTCTGTGGCGGCTGGAGGTGGTGGTTGTAAAAACAGTGACAAATTCATTGTGCCCAACCGGCGGACCCGAGATCATTTGTCGATAATGAATTGGACCCCTCCGTTGTGCATCGCACTTAATAAATAAAACCACTGGGGCGGGCGCCGCCCATACGCCCAATGGCCGCGCGTTAAATTGTTCTGCCCCCCTGCCGAGCGAACAACCTCGGCCACCCCTCGCGCATTCGTCACCCCGGCAACCGCGGTTAAAGGGCCGTACCGTGTTTACATAGGGAAATCTCTCTTACCGTTTTAAATCGCACACTGGATCGCGCCAACACACACACACAAAACCCGCGCACATTATATTCCGATTGAGTGTCAATAACAACGCCGTCGCGGTGCACCCGTTTACCCGGAGCACGGTGCTCAATCGACATGTAATCGCGCGGTAACGCGTTATCGTTATAAGGCCGTAGTACCCCGCATGGACCAGTTGGCGAGGTTTGCCGAGTTGTCGCCCGTCGCTGTCGTCCGATACGCTTTGCACCTGTTTACCGCTGTCGTCACCTACACGTATTCGTGCGGCCGCCGGCTCGCTGACCATGGACTCGCGAGCGTCATCTCTGTCCCCAGTGATCGACCCAGACGACTCGAGATCACCTCCCGGAACGCCGCCGCCGGTTCAGGCGTTATTGGATCACGACAAATGCTCTCAAAGCGACCATCGCGTAGCGTCCAGCGCGACTCCGGCAAGCTCGCCTTTGCCTGAAGATCGTCACCGGGTCCTTATATCTGCTATTACAGGTAGAATATTATAAATCAAATACGTATACAGTATCTACAAAATTCCATGCAACTGTATTGATACAATGGTATAGTATGCTGTATGTGCACCGTTTATAGTCTTGTAAAAAGCTTGCGTCTACTCTAGCCTATACTTAGCAATTCACCTATACCACGTGTTAAAAATCATAAAACATTTTTTTCTAGTTCTTTTATTTTTTATTATAAATTGTTATTTAATTTATTATTTTGAGCATACATATTAACGATTATTTGGGAAATTATGGATTTATTGATTAATTTAAATCATCTGCAAATGATTATAAATCTTGTGGAGTTGGAACTCGAAGGGTATGAAAAACGACGATTTCACCCCACTGAAAATGCATTGGACGGTAATTATTGTTAATTTAAATAAATATATAGAACTATTTTAGTGTAAAACAAACTAACTCATGATATGTTATTAAGATTTAAACGATTGTCAGTTTATTACTAAGTTTAGACTACCTAAACAGAACGTCCGAGATCTTATACATGAACTAATAACTCCCTTTATCTACTATCCTACTAGACGCTCTGCTATTAGTATCGACCGAAAGGTATTTTGAAATACGATTTGCGAAGCCCAGTGCAAATTATAAACGCGAGGCCTAAGATCGAAATTCGAACCACCGTATTTTATTCATATATAAGTATAATATTTTAGGATTGTATTGTTAATAAAAAACATTTTTTTTAAATTTGTATTATACTAATTTACATAACTGTAAATTGTTTATTATTATTAAATTATTAGTACATATTAACATACATATATGATATAGCCCGAGTCCATAGGTTATTGTATGAAAAATAAAAATAAAAATAAAATGAAGAAAATTATAACTTATAACACATAGCGTATACGGTATATTATATGTACATATATTATGTATATTTATTAATATATATATATATATATATATATATACAGGGTGTCCCACAAAGATAAGACAAATAAAATAACTTTTGTTCTAGTGAATATTTTAGAGATTCACCACGTTTTTTATTGCACTTAACTATTTTACTTTGTTAATTATTTTTTTGTTACATTTTTTTTTTCAAGACAATCATTTCATTAAGAATAATATTTAAAAAAGAATTTGAAAAAAAAATTTGTATTTTTACTCATCTATTAAAAAGTTATATGAATTTGAAAATTTTACTCAACGTTTAAAGGCGGTATCACAGCTACGTCGTCTGTCGTGTCGTGTGCCTTATATCATCTTCTGATTGGCCGTTGTAATCACGGTATCAGCAACGCATTTTAATTAGTTTTATAACAATATTCATTCATACACTAACCGTTCGTTTATATTTAATATAGATTTTAGTCTTTAGTATTTAGTCTTGTTCTATTTAAAAATTGAGTAGATTGCTCTCGATCAAACCGGGTGTCAAGTAAAGTGGTATAAAACCAACAGCCCCCGACGATACATTAACTAATGTTTAATTTCCGGGTTAAATTGTCTTTTATTTGTTACCATAGCTCGGACGTTATTGACTAAAATATTTTTAAATTTCAAATCAACATATGTTGATAATATTTTATAACGATTTTTTATCATATCTATTTTAATTTAAGTCAATGTTGATGAAGTACATCATGATCTTCAGTATTTTATTCCAAATTTTATGTTATACGGTATATTAATTGATACTTAGAACTAATTTTATGTAATACCCACAAAATAATTTAGTTACCAAAATATTATATTTAACACGTATATATCCACATGTTACTATGTAGACTATAGTCCTAAACAATAAGAAATTGTATTAATACAATATTAAGTTATATCTATTAGAGTTACTCATTTCAAAACTGTAGTCTATAAGTCCCCAAATGTTATCCATGGTGATAAAAAGTTTAAACAAAATAATTACCTAAATTTCAAAGCACGAATTATGATACTTAATATCTTAGTTTGTGTTTCAAATTTTATACAACACAAAACCACAGAGAACTTGAATCGTTGTTCGTCAGTATTTTAGTGAACGATTTTTTAGATCTTCTTAAAAAGAAATTTAAAGTTGTCAAACTTAGAAATAAGATAGTAAAAATAAGAAATGTTAGTTTATCTTAATAAATGTATTTTTATTGATATCTGTTTATAGGTCTTCAATGACCAATATCTGTCTTGTTTTAAGTAACCGGTAACGTTTACTTTTAGATTTTATGCAGCAAGATAAATTATTTATGCTCTACACAATCATTTGTACAAAGCAATATGGACATAAAAAACGTTAAACATTTATAACGCTATTCGTTTTTGTTAGTAGACAGGGTTGTTGTGTACAAACGGTTTTAATTCTCTTCATCATACATTTGTGGGTCATTTCGCCAAAAGTGTTATATTTGCGTCTATGGCATATCACTAGTCATTATCATTATTTTTTGGCTTGTCTCAAAAATTGGCCATTTAGGGTATTTAAAGGTCAACAAAATTTGTCTCTCGAAATCATTTACATGTTTCAGTATCAAAGGTAAAAATAATTTAATAGCCATTTCCTCATACCCCGGCTTGTGCTATGGTTAAATCAGTCATAAACATGACCTTTTAAAATCCGCTACTGAAACGGTGATAAGTTGCTTAAAAAAATGTCATTGGAATTGTATAGCAGAACTGTTTGCTACAGGATGATTTTTAGAGAAGTACCATCCAATCAACAGTAAACTACGGATATCACATTTTAAGTGTATCCTAACATTACCTCACTTCCCAATCAAGTTTTGAATTTGTCTCCAGGGTAGGGATGGTTTAAGGAATATGTTTTTAAGGAGTCTGCAACCTATCAATTCTATCTATTCTATATTGAAAGTAACCACTTTTCACAAAATGATCTTTACATTTTACAGGTAGTACTAGCATATCTTGGGATATGCATTTTGTGATTAGATATTTATAAAAATACACATGTCTTTGTGCAGTGTGCGTAAAGTTTAGTGTGTAATCCCTGTGTATTGTGTAATGCTATAAAACCATTTTTCACATTTATTTGATATATTAAACCTAACCTTACCTTACCTTATTATATTATCACAGTGTTGACCTACAATAGTGAGCCAGTTTTGGTTTATTCCTCTGACAAGAATCAAATAATGTTATGAAAGCTATGGCGTCTTTTTACAATTTTTGTAATTACTACTCAGCAATTTTGGGTTGCGCACTCTGCTTATTGTCTGTATAGGAGACGGGTAATTGAATAGGTGTAAAATATCTACTAAACATACGAAATAAGTGCATTCTTAAAACAAGAAAAAAGAAGGAAAAAGCAACGCAATAATGTGGATTGGGGTTGTTTAAAAAAAAAAAGACAGAACAATCGTGCCACGTCGTAGGTACATATATATAAATAAAAGTTGTTTGGCGGCGTAGGTGATTGAGTGCATGGCGTCCACCAAATTTCATTAGAGCTTTGTAGTTTTTGCAGTGAGCAAAAATACCAAATTGGATTTTTTGCCGCTCTCCCCTCCTGTTCTGTGTTTGCCGCTAGGTTTTATTCGTTTTATTAATTCGAAGTCGGTTACAACGCCGGATTTATTTTGCTTTTTTTTTGTTTGTTTGTTTGTTATTTTTTAGCGTACAAACATACACTGCAAAACAAACCGACCTCGTGAGGGTTAGGTGAAATCATTATCATTACACACCTGCGCGCGTTGTAAATAATTGCATTACAGGTATGAACTTTTTAACGAGACCATTACAAAATGTGATATAATAATTATGTCATGTGTCATGGACGCACGATGATTAGTCAGTGACTGCAATGGTTTTTGTGGGTATACCTATTTACCTGACCGACATTGCGGCCACCACTCGTATTCGCCTTTGGGGAATTAAATGACTCAATCTACTCGCCATAAAAAAAATTGGTTAAAAATCTCACATTTAACCGAATTAAGAGAGATTTGATGACTACTAAAAACGACCATTTCGAATATTAGATAAGTATTCAAAAAATATATCCGAATAAAAAAAATTAATTTTTCAAATAAAAATGTATTAATTAAAAAAAAAAAAAAATATATATATTTTTTTTTAAGAATGATAGCATATAAAATAGGCAAAGTCGGTACAGATCTAAAAGTTATTGAATCTAATATTAGACTGACTAGTTTAGCTCATCGTCGATTTATTGCAGATGTTTGTTGGATTCATGGTCTAATTAATAATACTATAGACTGTCCTGAAATATTAAATATTGTTTCTCTTAATGCTTCTTCCTTTTCCTTACGCTCAAACCAACTATTTCATATATCCTCCTACAAACAGAACTATAGTTATTATTCTCCGGTAAATCGCATGTTAATGGGTTCTAATAAAGCAATACATGATCACAACTTGGATTTATTTACGATTCCTTTAGCCAGGTTAAAAATGATTCTTAATAATGTCGTTTAAATATTTTTGTATAATTTTTTAATTAGTGTTATTGTAATGATTTATAACTAATTTAAAAAAAATATTATCCTGTACTCTATTGCCCCATGGGCATAAACTATTTTTTATAGTTAAATAAATAAATAAATATAAATATATATATATATTATTTGATTACAAAAGTGTTATTTTAATAATCACCTTTAGATACGATTGAATTAAATAATGATCAACTTTGCTGGTAAGGTGTTAATTGTTGGTAAGACAGTTTTTTAAAACAAATAACTCATAATTAAATATAATAATAGTAAAATTAATGACGGTAAACCGTTTCTCAATTATTTTATTATATTATAACTTCTACTACTTTTATCATTAAAGTATGTGTGACAAATAAAACGTTTTTCTAAACGAAATTCCTAAAATATAAGACAATTAGACAGTAAGTGAAAATTATTATATTTCATTAATATAAAAAAGGTTTGTCGAGTGTTCGTAATATCATTGAGTATATATTGTACAATATTTATATACATATATATACTCAATGGTAATATTAAAAAAACAATAAAGTGTAAATTGACAGTAGTCGTGTCTCCTGATCACATCTCGGGTACACAAATAAGTATGTGTTAAGAAATAACCATAATAATTTTCTCACTTGATTTGAATAAAAAATGAAAAAGCGACCATTAATATTTATTTATAGTAACTATTTATAGCATTTTCAATGAACGCGAAAGAACGGTAAACCTACTGTTTAGGTAACTAATTAATACACGTTTGAAAGGTGTAAACGAACACAAGCGCTATTTAATGCACTGGGAAATCGTTTTCTCTTCAGCTATCTGTCTTTTTCTTACTCTGGTTCCCTGCCTCTTCACCATCTCTCCGTCTGAAGTCCGTTTATATCTATATTCTTCTCTTAATTAAAGTAATGGGATTAGACTAATCCAGGACATGGAGAGGGCACGACGAGGACGGAGGAAAAATAAAACGTCTTAAAGCCTTAACTGAGGGGCGGGACTTGGTAACTACACCCCAGAGTACTTCAGGGCAGCAGACTTAAATTAATTGCCCCGTAACTCCAGCAAAGCGTCTCATCGTCGTAATTTTATTTCATAATAAAAATCGTATTCTTGTAAGAAGGATTTACACCATAATATCTTCCCTTTCCGCATACTTTTTTTCATCTTTTTTTCAGTTTTACTAATTCAATTTACTTCAATAAAACAACGAGCAACGCTCTCCTCTTCGCCATAAGAGCGAACGCCTTTTTTAAACCTGTTTGTATTTATATAAACAAAATAAATTTTACTTTTGTTTATTAAACCTACAAGATCTGCTGATAATTAAATTTAAAAAAGTTACAGATAATGATATTATATTAACTGTACTATATATTTTACTGTAGTTTTTCGTTTGTTGCAGGTTTCCCAGGACGATATAATTTTTAATGTTAACCTACTAGTAAATATAAACCAAAAAGTATTACGTAATTTGTACTTTGATAAAACTAATAAGCGACAAATTAATTAACAGACAAATAAAAACATAGTATTATTGAATAAATTACACAACATATTTTAATGGTGCTTTGTACAGCAAGATTAATGTCAATAGAATAACGTTATATTAAAAAAATAAACACAATTCAGTGTTTGTGTTCTCTCCCTATGTAAATGATCCTGTTATGTGTGTAAACAGTAAATATTTTAAGAACAAAGACAAAGAAGACCAAAAACATAAACATAAGGGTTTACCAAAAAAATTCTTACATGTGCGCGTTATCTGTACTAACTTTGATCAATAAAAAATAAATAAATAATCTTTTATAGGTGAGCTCAGACTTTTCGCTTCAATGCGAAGCTGAGAAGGTAATCATTTTCATCTAACTACTATTACTTTTAAATATTTATCCACACATGACACATTTGTCGTTTATTGTAAATAAATAATTGTTAGTGTTTTTAGTCATAGTATTCTATTTTCGCGCCTGTAAGTTGTTGTATTTAATGTACACGCTCGGAATGCAATCGTTTAGATAGGCGTGTCTCAAATTAAATAATTGTTAGAGCTATACGAGTAGCTACAAATCAGGGTAAAAAAAATAGGGATGATGAGATACCCGGAGAGAAGATGAATAATGAAATAAAGAAAGCGATTAAGCTAAGCTTTTTAATAGCATTTAATAGCTTCTGCGCGCTCGTGTTTAATTTGCCAAATGGTATTAAACGCACATATCCAAATTAATTTTATTTCCACTTCACTCAGACGACCCTTCGAAAGCAGGTACTTAAAGCCTTAATCTCCTGAAAAATCGCAATGATAGTGACAATCAATTAAAATATTTATTTGCGTATATACAGTTGTCGTTGCTAAACTACAAGACATTTAATGAAAGACTATCTAGAGAAAATACATTTAATTCGTTAAGCCGAGTATGTAATCGAAAATAACTTCCCTTTTATTGGAAGTATTTTTATTTTTTAGATTAGAGTAATAATAAATAATAATCCAAATCAACATGAAATCATTATGTTTTATAAATTATATGCTTACGACTAATTAAAAACAAACAAAATATTTCAATTTATTCGATTATAACTATTATTAGTATTTGATATAATAATTTAATGAGTAAAAATCCATTTTAATTTTCAATATACTTTGTTGATTAGGTTGACAAGCGCTAGTCAGTTTCAGGTTCTAATTTCCATAACATTCTACTTACAAAAATAATGTTATTCCTCTTTAAAAAAAAAATGTCTTACTTATATTAATAAAATATTCACTAGGGTAAGGTATAACTTCTATATGCCATAAATATTAAAATAATATTATCATGTATTAATTTAAAAATGGATTAAAATACTTAAAATATATTTGGTTTCAATAATAAGGATAAGGGGTCTAGCCACAGTCAATTAGCTGCGCCATAAAAGTGAAACCTACATCTAAATTTGATACGTCCAATTAAAAAAACAACTAAAAATATAGTATTTTTGCCGGGCTATTGATTTTATGTAATTATATTTTAACAATACAAATGTTTCCCAAGTATTTGAATACTCCAAGAGTAGAATTTATAAATATTGCATAATGTGTCATTCATTATTATCGTTATTATTGGATTAAACATTTCAATGTTTTCTATGATCTTGTATTTTTATGAATACAACAATATTTCCTTAGATGTGTTTCGTTATGTATAGGTATATTATATTTTAGTAAATTGGTACATAATTTTAATTACAGATTTAAAAAAGTCCAAAGATGATATTACTGATGATTATCGTCAAAGTTTTGACGAATCGAAACTTAACAATAACAAACATCCCGGATCGTCCAATAAACAGCGACGTAGTCGAACTAATTTCACACTAGAACAGCTCAACGAACTAGAAAGGCTTTTTGACGAAACGCATTATCCTGATGCGTTTATGAGAGAAGAACTTAGTCAACGGCTTGGTCTAAGTGAAGCTAGGGTACAAGTAAGTCAGTATTACTTACACAATATTAAATATAAGTAGACTATCGTAAGCTATTAGACTAATTATTATTGGATAAATCCCGGTTAACTGTCGAGTAATTTGTTGTATAAAGATTGAAGGCCATTCAGTAGATAATAAATTGACATTGACAATAACATATTAAACCTTCAAAAAGCTTCAAATAACTACTAACATTATTATAATTACTGCTAAATGACAGTTGGTTTGTTGCCACTTGATCCCGGATGGGAGTCTTAATGCACGTGTCTAACATGTACAACCCCAAACCAACCAAAATACCAATGGCCAGCAAGTCAATAGCTATGATTGCCGAGGCTATACAATTTAATTAAAATCATTAGTTAAATGACAAATGAAATTGACGTTTTTAATTTTAAAAATTATTTCAACCCGTTAATTGAATTGTACTTATTTAGTACATTTAACTAACCCTTACTATGATTTTTTTTTTTTACTTAGGTATGGTTTCAAAACCGACGAGCCAAATGTAGAAAACACGAAAGCCAAATGCACAAAGGTAAAGTCATCATATTATACTCTATTTTGATATTTTAAATTATATTTAGTACATACTTGTTTTATGGATCCGCAGATAATGAGCAAAAAAACTATTAGGTTGTAGTCAGAGCTACAACCGCTCATATTTACGTTAATAAGTCTTGCTGTACTTTCTGGAATTATCCAAAAATTGAAAAAAAAAACGCAAATAATCAATCCAATAGTTTTTAGACTTAAGTAGAGGTAAATAAAAACCATCCTTTCACCTTTGCGCCATCCTCTCCCATACCTCAATGGCCCAATGACTCGTGTAGCGCAATTTGTACATTTGAGACCTCGAAACAATCTATCAAATGATACTGCAACCGTTTGTCTGAACGCTCAAGTTTTTATACATGGCACCAAATTTACTAACGTATTCACGTCAAAAAGTCTTTTACTTTCCTGCCATAAATATAATGCATTAATTATATTCACATTAAAACCCAATAATTACGTTACCAATAGGCGGACGATGGCTGAACCGGATTTTAATACTATTCACTATTTCACTATACAGGGTGGTATAATTAATGTTATATAATTAAAATGTTGTGTTTTTTTTTAAATGTGATTATTTGACAGTATTATAAAATTACTAAATATTTACCTTTTTTTAATATATTTCAAAGCGCTTTGAACTCTTTAAACTTAAACGGTTCCTCCATAAATATAAATTGAATTTACTATTCAAAAAAAGTATGATTTGCTAAAAATGTTGACTGAACGATAACCAATTTTCAATCATTTCTTCCAGCTATAATAATTGCTGTAGACGCATGATCTCTGCCGCCCCAATTTATTCCGTCTTATAATTATCATTATAATTAAAAGTTTATTCATGATTATATTCTAAAAATCGGATACTCGTTTTTATAAATGTTCACACATAGTAGTTAAACAATACTCACGTGACCTTTATATTATTTATTACCCGTTTGCGTTTTTTTTTTGAAATTCGTTAAGTTTAACTACGGGCACAGGAAAAAAAAATTAAAAAACAAAACAAAGCACCCGCGCGTCGCATTGGTAATAAATCGTACTTATCAACGGGTAGGAGCGGCGGTGGTGTCGACGGGGGGGTGGGGGTGGCAAGAACTATAATTTCGTTTTAATGTCAAGGGGCAGTACACAATAATCATATACAAACGCGATTAACGTACCGCAACACATTTTATGCTCGATCATTAATAACAACAATAATATAATTCGGAGCCCAAAAAACAACGAGCGGTATATTACTACTACGCGGATTGCGCAAGGCCGAGACGGCGGGGACGGCGGGGACGGGTAATGTGAAAAAGGGATGCGCAACACACACACACATATATTTGTACAAAGGCCGAGGGAGTGGAAACAATTGGCACCGAAATATAGGAGTGAATCATTCGCGTTCCAATTGTGTCCGTATGTGTGTAATTGAATAAAAACATCTCCCGTCATCGTCGGTTTGCACTGCCCTCGGGCGTGGGGCGAGAGAGGCCTTCGGAGGTTACCGTTTAGACTGCTCTAATCGCTCACTGGGGTGCAATCGGGTGACAATCACTTGCATACACACATACACACACGCAACACTTAACTTGATTAAGCAACGAACGGATATGGTTTATTTGTAATCCCTCTGATCTGCCCGACCGGCTTTCCTCCACGCTTTCTCCGCCGTCTTCTTCTCTCGTGCTACTTTTTATTACACCCACACACACACACACATAATATATATATATATATATATTTATAGCAGTCGGTAAAGTACTCTTCGACTGGCCTGTCGGTCTTGAATTTTCTACGTTGTTACTTGTTAGACCATTTGTTTTTTCAACGAGGCGAACGATCGTTTACTAATCATTGCAATAACACGCAGCAAAAATATGAAAGATGGAGATTTGTGGGTTTCATACCTGTGAACACCCTGTATACAATAGTGTATGTGTGTCATATCTTATATGGTCTCCTTAGTTTATACGTCTACATAGACATTATATTACTACGAGCTTATATTTCTCGTACTGTCTGTAAACCTGTGACCTAACCCCTAATATGCTCCGTCACCACTTTGTTCTAAGCCCACTGTTATGTTTTTCCTTTTTTTTTTAATGTTATTGTGTAATACGATTTTTTATAAGAATCATATAGTTCAACTGTTCAAACAAAAAATTATCAATTATATTATAAAATAATAATATAAAAAATAACATTTACAATGTGCTGCCCTATTTACATACAACATTTTACAAACCCTAGTATGCACATAATGCCTTTGATTGTATTATACTTTACAATTTTACTTCTGTTTATTTAGGTATTGTTATTAATTTTTTGGCCTTATACGTTTTAAATATATTATCTAAAATAATACTTAATCGAATTAAAATATCATAATACTTTATACAAAGCAATAAGTTGTTGGCAGTGATTATTCCGACCCCCTTTCTATATTTTTCTTTTAAATTATCTGTACGATCTTTTCAGGTCTAATGATGCAGCAAAATGTCTCCACGCCTTTGGAACCTTGTCGGGTTGCTCCTTACGTGAACGTACCCAGACTGCCACAGCTACAGTTTAGCACAACGGCCGCAGCCGCATTTTCTGCATTCGATCCGGCCATTTTGAATGCAGCACAGCAGGTATTAATTCTTACAAAGTGCACACGTGGCAAAACTTTCTTTGATTGATCCTCAAATTTTGATTGAATTATAGGGTAAAAATTAATTATTTACTGTCTAGGAAATGTTAATATTGTTAATTATAGAATCAGGAATGCGTAATAAAATGAAAAATAATATATAAAAGACACTGGTTTGCAAGTATTAGGAAAAAATAGAGAGACTGTGCCAAGACGATTTTATTTTTTATTTTATTGGACGAAACAATAATGTAGGTAAAAACTGAAGGAAAATCTAATGGATGCTGATAAATCGAACGTTAGAGATACAGAGATGGGAAGTATGAAGGGAACAAATTAGATTGGCTAGCTCCCCTTGAGTAATATAAGGTTATGAATTATAAATAAAAAAAAAAAGTCTATAAGTATTACTGTTTATTTTGAGTAATAACAAAAAGTGGTGGCTACTATTAGTTATTGTCTCGTTTACGGCAGGTTAATTATTTTATGGTTTGGTCATTATTATTATTGTGTCTGTACTATTATTATTAATAAATCGAAAAAATTTAGATGGAAGATTTACATGATATTTAAAAATATAAATATATTGTTTTAAACAAATTTATTTTCAAGACATTAAAAAAAATTGTTTAAATTTCAGTTGCACTACGCGGTAACTATGGGACGAGGCGTTCTATGTCCTTCTCCATACCCATCTGGAGGACTAAGTCTAGCTACTCTAGCGGCGTTACATCAAGATAGACTGATAACCAAAAACTCTAGTATAGCAGACTTAAGGTTAAAAGCTAAAAAACACGCAGAAGCCATAAGCAGAGATCAAGAAATTATTTAATTACATTCATTGTAATTATAATTTATATTTTGTTTTGTATAATATACAGTGGCGTAAATAAGAGGGCTCAGAGAGTACAGTTGTACCCGGACCCAAACGTTTTAGGGACCCGAATACTAGTTTTTTTTTAATATACTTATATATATATTTATACGTATAGTATACATTTTTTACCCGCGGTTATTTTTGTACTCGGGCCCAAATTTTAAAGTTGCGCCACTGATATTATCAGTTGTTTACTTCAAAGTATCTTTTAAGTGAGTACTAGTATACTTAGTAGTTCACGTCTCTTTAATTTATAATATGGTAATCATATTATGTTCTTCGACCTACCTGTTCTTGATGTACATTAAAGTGAGCATGAGACTTAAAAATTAAGTGTACTAATCAAAATTTGTTTCTACTTTTCACTGTTTATTTCTGCAGATTGTAATTTTTATGAGCTTTAAGAATCTTTTTTTTTTTTTGTATTTTTAAATCTGTATACTCATTGTACTACTGTAATAATTGAAATAGTAATGTGTTAAAAGGGTTTTTGTACCGAAAATTCATATTATCATAATAATATGTTTTATTTAATTGCAATAATGGTAGTTAAAATGTTCAATTATGTTTAAAAAAAAAAAAAAAAAATAGGAAGTCTACACACTAAATATTTTTAAACATAAATGTGAACAAATTTAAGCATGAATAAATATTGAAATCTTCTTAACCTATAGCGATAAGAACAAAATTATATTATTTAATATGAATGGTATGTATACAGTATAACCCTGACAATGAAAAACCGTTCTAAGTAATCATCCCCATTAGGGCATTATCTAGTGCTTTAACAAAATCATACTTCGCAAAAATATTATCACATCATATTTCAAAGTACCGTTATAATTTGTAATGCGCCAAGTGTATAGATGAATATTGAATAGTCATTACTCATTGCTAGATGCATATATACTATGATTTATAAATTATAATAATAACTTTTACAATGTAGTATGTATAAAAATGCTAACTATCGGATTATTTGTATTATCGGTAATATCAATAAAAATTATTACAATTTTTTTTTTTTTTAATGTATAAAAAAAATATAAATATGAAAGGTTACATTTATGGTTACTATATATATTATATTATGTTATTAAGTTTAACTTATTCGTGTAGACTGTAGATCATATGGAATATTGTGTATGATTGTGTTTGTAATTACATTTTTATTGAATAAAAAAAAATCATAAATGCATAAATTGTAGGACGGATAGAAAATACAATTATGACGATTGCAGCGGTATGTTTCGTTTGACCGTGTGCGGTTCGGTTTGGTGTTAAAAAATGTAGGGTAAACCCGGCACGATGCAAAGTTAATGGCGTTTTAATTCAATCTGGGAATAGCAATTCAAAATGCGCCCGGGGATGTGGAGTTTGGACTCCCGCTGATATACACAACATACATACATAGTTATATACATATTATATCTTGAGCAGCCCTCCGGCCAGTGGTGATATATGGGCGGCGTGGGAATCCGCTCGTGCGCTTGTATATGTGTACGCGTTGGAATATTCAAAAAAGCCCAAACCCAGTTTGGATACCTCATAGAAATAACCACAAGTGTTATTATTTTATACAGAAAAATACTCGATTCGAATTCAAAAGTTTAAAGTTTGGCACGCAGTGATCACTGGTCGTACCTACACGGCGCGGCGTTTGTAAGCGCAACTAAACTAAAGAAAAGCGTGAGCCCCACTCAACAAAGTCCCTAATAAATTTATCAGATAATGTTTTATATTGTAAGTTCTTTTGTAATTTAAATTTAGTTTAATATTTGTGTGTGAAACATACATTTCAAAATACATAACTCAATGAATTTGGACTTTGTTGAATAGGGCCCACGCTTTTCTTTTTAGTAAAAAATTAAAGATATTTAACATTATTTAAAATTGTAGTTAATTTTCGGTTGTTTTCAAAGTAATTGACATTTTAAATAAAATATGCTCCAATTGATTGGTATATAATATTGTTCTTGTAATAAAATTATGTTTTACTTTTTAGTTCACTTTTTACTATTTTTTTTTTAGAAAAACATGTTTTTCTAAAAGTTTTTTTTAGAAACAGACGGACTACGCTGTTGTTATACAGCACAGTGGGTCGGGCCCAAAAAACTTCTAACCTTCCCAAGTTCACCACAATGGTAAATAACTATACAACTCTCCAAAGTAAAGATAAATCCTGATTTTTATCATTTTTTTATTCCCGTGATCAAATGCTTTTTATGCAAACTGTTTTTTTTTTTTTTTTATTGTCATACGCTTTTTTATTAAAACGACATAACACGTCTTTATCAATACAAATCATAAGAGGGGGGGTATATTTTATACCGAACACAGGTTCGAAGAAGTCACCTCCAGTTAAACATAAAGTTTACTTATTCTCTAAATCGACGATTTTGGACATTGTTTTACATAAAAGGCATTAATGTGTTGTAATTTGTAATTATGCTCTAATTTCTACACTTAACTAGTTAGTTCTACTATTGGAAGTGCGGTATGCGCCATGCGGTTGCCAGTTTTGATATACCTGTCATTCAATGACAAGACATTTTTCTGCATGCTCTGTAAAAGAAAGCCAAAGCAGTATAATAGTAATATAATATAGTACATTAGCTTTTATTCGGTCAGCCCAGTTATCATACACAAATTTTAAATATGATAAATAATTGATAAAGCATATTCCACTACAGATTAAGCGAGTGCAATCTGTTTAACACCGCCCATTAATTATAATACTGCTCAAACAGTAACATAGTGTAGCATCATTCAGCATTCTTATCGTCAGCACATCATGTTGATGGAATATTGTTACTCTTTTTTATTATTAGCATCATAACTACTGGCCAATGTCTCGGAAGCAGCAGAATCAACGTTAGGCAGAAAAAATTCGCAAGACTGATAGAGCTAAGGAGGCAAATCGTCGTCGTAGGTCATATCGTAGGCAACAAAACTTGATTGTTCCACCCCATATGAGGTTCAAGTGAAAAGACGAACGTTTATTAAAATCTTTACAAGAAATTAAAGAACTCATGAGAAAAGTAAGAGGTGGGCTTTTAATGGTAGAATAAAAAAGATTAAATCCCGAAGGCCATATAGACCGGCAAAAGGAAGCTTTGATTATGCTAAAGCAGCAGGACTTTCTGATAAGTCATAAACATCTCAATAAGGATGGGCTGTGGAAAGACCAATGAAAAAGATTTTACCCAAACCAATAGTTCAATTTAAGAAACGTGAGACAAAGAACGCAAGGTATGCCTGGAGCAGGCCTAGGAAACCCTTTCTTCGGTCCAATTAGACCCGGAGGATGGCACGCTAGACAAGGAGGAGGGTAAAATAGACCCGGAGGATATAGATCACAAGGAAGACCATGATCCCAAAGTTCATTTAGACCTGTTACAGGGTCAGGTGGTCCTCAAACTACATTAAGACCGGGAGCTGGTCCAACTAAATCACAAACTTTAATAGAATCTGCAATAGAAACTATAAAGCCGCTTAGGTCTATGAAAACAATGTGATTGTAATAGGCTATTTATTTAGGCTACTGAGTGACTCAGATAATCCACATAATGTAGAAATGAAGCTAATAGAAATAACTCGGTAAAAGAATAAAATTAATTATCACCGGATAAGATAAAAATGCAATAAAGACTGAGAATCAAATAAAATTTAGCTCAGTTGAAATCAATTTTATTCATTGAATAAAATCAATGAAAGTTTAAGCTCACAATGCTAATTTATATATATTGAAGTACTATGATAATTTATTGTATATCTAAAGCTTGATTGTTGTTGCATATGCTTGAATTGAACTTTGTAATTATTTTAACTGATATAATTGTCTTAAATTTGAATTGGCTAAATGTTCAGATAAACATAAATAGTCGATTAAAATATTATAAAATATGTTTTAACACCAACTATACTAAAATTTGAATATTAACATGTATGTGTTCAAACATTAATGACTATTTTTATGCGTATGTATAGTTCATTAACTATAACCTACACTCTGATTACATGTCACAATTTGATAAACAAAATTTAAAATAACTAGTGTCAGTCTTCAGTTTAAAATTAGACTAAATATAGTGTGGCCCAATAACATAACTTTTTTATAGGAAATCCAAAAAAATCCTCTTTTTTCCTTGTTTTAAGTAGACATTTCTCTCTTGCTTAGTTTTTAATACTACTTTTATATAGTTTTTATAGAAGATACAAATTTTAAGGCCCCCGCCTGGCGGCTACTGCAATATTGACTTTGATTTTCTAATACCATATTCATTATTTAAAAGAAACTTGGGTGTTTTAAACAATTTTGTATGTACTTGTTTTACTGTTAGGGTCTTTTTAAGACTAAAGAATATGTTTAATTTTCACATTTTAAATTAGGTAGCAAGAAACGTAAAAATATAATAATTTAGTTTTTATTTGATTAACATTTGATTGAAGAATTAGTTGAATGGTTTAGAGTTAACGCGATATTAACAGATTGAAAAAAATGCAAAAAAGTTTATGGTAATCCCCCAGGGGTTAACCATTCGCGTTTTACAATGTGTATAACTCCTTTTATTAAGCAGCTGAAGGATCAGCTACTCGGTTTTGCTGGGACGTTTCTTAGTTTGGACAGAGGATCGGAACGGCGAAAATAATAGGTGCGAGCGGACGCTCAGTATACTTAAAAGATTTTATTAAAATAAAATATGTTAAAATTTCTTTAACAAATAAACCTAATATTATAATATTACAGGATAGCCTCGCTGGCAAAGTCACAATACAATCAGTTAATAAAATAAAACATAAATAAAAACGTACATAAAATTACCTAACCGGCTCGCTAAACACAAAATAATAAATAATAATTACAACCGACTCGCTGTCGAGGTTTACTCACTGTAAAATATACATTGCCCGCTGCTGGCAGAAAACATATTATTAAAAAAACAGAGTGTAGTTTCGTACAAATTATTATCGGACGAGTTTCATATTATTGAACAGAGTTTGTATTGACACCAACAGCAGGTCATAGGGTGTCATTAGACAATTGGCACTGGGCACTAAAATTAAGTCAAGGAATAAAAAAACTCGTCTGAAACCACAAACATATAAAACATACTAGGTATAGCGAATGACCATACGAAAATTGTGTCAGTCCGTCATATTATGCAAAGAAGGCAATATCATAATGTAAATTATGTGTATTATACATATCATTAAAATTTAAACATTTACATTATGATAGTATTGCCTTCCTTACATATGGCGGACTGACAAAAATTCATTTATTCCTTGTAAATGGTTGTCCGCTATCTAGTATGTATACAGGGTGTCATGTAAAGTTCTACCGAGCTTCAAACGAGACATTCAGGATGCTCTATGGGTACAATAAATGGTATTCATTTTTTTAAAATTTTAAAATTTTTTAAAATAGAACTCGTATTTCATTAAAAAATTGTTTTACGAAAAAAATAATGTTAGATTTGAAATTGGGAGAAAAAATCTTGTTGAATTGATATGTAACACGATTTTTTGGACAGATTTTCGTCCACCAAGTGGCCACTGAGTGGCCGGCATGTGACTAAAATCAACATATGGCATGCGACACATAATTTAATATAAAATAATTCTAACGACTTTGAATTGAGAATAAAATTCTAACTGATAATGTAGTGTCCCTTACCATATTATGTTGCTTTCGGTCACATGACAACCACTCAGTGGCCACTTGGTGGACGCAAATGTGGCCAGATACCAAAAAACCTGTTTACATTAAATAATTTTAAAATTAAAAAAAAATGAATACCATTTACTGTACCCATAGAGCATCCTAAATGTCTCATTTGAAGCTCGGTTAGGACTTTACATGACACCTTGTATATATCTGTGGATTGTGTCTAAAACAGAAAACTACACCCTACTGAAAAACGGATCCGGCTGGTTACGCGGACAATACATAAACGGCTCACTGCCGGGAAAAATCGTTAGTCTACCAGTTACAGTTTAGACGTTTGGATGACTGCTCTTAATAATAGATTAGTACAGTGGTATTTAAATTTTGTTATCCCACGAGTCCTTTGAGTCTTCACAATATTTTAACGGCTTCCGAATTATGAAGGGATACGGAAAGGATATTTATTAAGGGGCAAAGGATAGATATTTGACAAAATTTAATCTACTGGCCATTTTACATAATATGCCAACTAATTAGTAATTTTTAATAGAAAAAATATTAAGATTTTCTAGTTATAAAACTTTTAAAGTTATTTTTCTCCGAGTTATGGTGAAAATTTGATAAAAAATTACTTTCGTAGAAGTCATTTTCTCGCGTATCTATTGGACGGATTTAAATTATTTTTATGCGAGTCTTACTATATTTTTCTGCGTAGGGGCCAAAAGGTCGATTTTCGATTTAGCTATCGGTAAGTTAGTTTAGATTTATTAAAAAAGTAAAAATATGAACGTTCGTGATAAAATTAAAAAAAAAACTACAAATCGACCTTTTAGCCTTCACAAAGAAAATAGTAAACTTTATAACAAAAACATTTTTTGAAATTGGTTCGGTAAACAGTCAGAAGGTGGCTTCGCATTTTATAGTGTCCATTCGTGTGAAATGTGGTGTTTTCTGACTTACGTAAATCAGTAACCTCTACGGCCACATTAGGTGCCCTGTTCTTCCAATGTTGGGTAAAAATATAAGCATAAATGCGACTCTGAGGAGCACCCGGCTATTACGGAATAGAAGTGTATTATTACTAGGATGGGTTTAAAAAAATCGGATTTCCACCAAACACGCGTTTCCAGTGATTTAAAAATATTATAATTTTTTTTTTTTTTTTTATTAAATAAAGTCCGTGACAGCTGTGGTCATTGGACTGTCATTATTTTACATAATTAATTAACAATCTTATGCATTATATATGAGTAATTTTATGAAAGAAACAGTTATATTTTTAAATTTTGTTGATAAGCTTGGAATTGTACATGAAATCTATGATGCTTTTGACGTTGCGTGGGTCTGGATTCAATGACTCGGAAAGCAATATTATAATTGTGAAATATGTATTCAAGTAAAATGTTTTCGATGAAACACACTACCGAAAAAGATAAATATTATGGTTTTTTCGTAAAAATATTTTACTTAGGCATGCGGCTTTGTATTTTAATAATATTTAGTATTTATACGATTTATAAGTGTAAAATTCGGATTTTCGGATTCCCTTCACTAATTATAATTCTACTGCAAAAAGGAGTGTAGTATTGTTTAGACCTTAAGGAGGGCGTCGCACCGGTGATGTTCAGTGGTAAAAACATGTTTAAGCAGACTGAAAATAACTCGCTTAATTTTGATTTTAGAGTAAAAGCACCCATGATAAAATTAAAAGAAAACAATATTCCGGAGGGCAAGACGGTGCGTTTTTAAAAAAAAATTAATTTTTTGAAAATTTACAGTCATTTAAAAATGTTTATATAGTTGTTATTTCTAAACTATGTATTGAACGTTATACTTAGAATAATGAAAAAACGCACAGTCTTGCCCTCCAAAATATTGTTCTTTTTTAATTTTATAATGGGTGCTTTTACTCCAAATCCAAAACTAAGCGAGTTATTTTCAGTCTGCTTAAACAAGTAGAGATGAAAAAACATTTTTAAATCGCTTTCAAGAATGATGTGAAAGTCCAAAAAATAAATTAACTGCCAAAATAGAGTACTAGTTATTGAACTCATAATTACACATCACAGTTTAACCTTTAAATTAATATTTTGTAAAAAATTGCCTATACTTTACCCCTTAAAAATGGGCGATGCGACGCCCTCTTAATGTATTTATTTTTGTTCCTATTTTCTGCTTCTAATAATTACTGAATCGACTTTGATGAAATAAAAAAAGTAGGTAAGTATTTTTTTTTGTGTTCAAAAGCGAGGTGGATGCATTCAACTAGAGACAAACTTTACTGGTAGCATTAATTTTAATAAATACAGATACACATAACGGCGACCGATTTTATATGCGAGATTCCCACTGTCAACAACGGTACTCTCGTCAGCACTTGGATGGGTGGATGATACTATTTATAGTAGAAGATGTTATATAACTTACAATGAGATTAACACGATGAAATACTTCTTCTTACAAGTCTGAGAAAATTTCCCTGCAAAGTATTACCATTGTTTATAAATATTATAATAATAACAATAATATTATTGTAATTATAATATTTATAATCAATAGTATTACCTAGCAATGGCAATCATGCCTGTTTATTTTATCATGGACACGATTAACGATTTAAATTACTATTATATTAAATCGTGGTCATGGACGAGGTTTAGGGTACCACGGCTAATATGGTATATAATTCATTATCTATTAACCTAGGGTAGGTACCCCTGTTGACGGCGGAAATCCTGCGACATTAATTGAGTAGTAAAGTATTTTTGGTAGTTCGTATGCATTGAACATTGCATTAATTTGTTAATTTAAATTTAATAAGCAATTAGGTATATGCTTTTATTATTTATTTTATAGTTATTCTTGTTTATACGCGATTATATATTATCGTTCAAGATCATCGGGTTCAAAGATTTTATGTACTAATAGTTACACGATAAAATAATTTTTTTGTATTGTTTAATTCGTTCATTTACAACAGTATGACTTTCTATGTTAGTTAATCGTGTAAAGAACGTGATTTTTACAAGAAGAATTTATGTGTAATTCAAATCGAAAGTTGTTGAGATGCTACACTAATGTTCTGATGGTGCGATTTATGTTTTTAATTAAAAATAAGTTACGATTTGTAAAATAGTAAAATAGTAACAAAACATATTGAAGACTGTTGAATAATAGTAATAATTGTTATTACCTATTACCAATGTTTTTGTTCGTTGATAATAATTTTTTTATGAATCATGGTTACTGTTAATTGCTAGGTAGCGGCCATCTTTTAGTGGTCTGTTATCACAAAATCGTTTATCTTATCTTTTCACCGACTGCCGTCTGGAGTATTCGTCTAATGAGTAATGATTTACAATTTATTGTTTAGTTTTTCCTAAAGAGTTAAATACCAAACTGTTAATTTTTTTTTAAATGAAATGGGCAATTTTTCCATTGTCATTACATTCCTAAATTATATTCTTATAGTCTCATTAGTATCATGTTCAACTGCGTTAAAGCCAAGGGGTGTTGCATTCGACAGTAAGTAAAACACTTTATTAGGATTCTAAATTAAACTCTCCTACACACATAGCCTTATATTTGCCAGTAAATTATTCATGATATTTCATTTCAATTTTAGAAACCTTTCTGTATATACCAGACAAAGATTTCTCATGTCTGGATGGGAACTTAGTTATTCCATTCTCACATGTAAATGATGACTATTGTGACTGCCCAGATGCAAGTGATGAACCAGGAACATCAGCTTGTCCTAATGGTACATTCCATTGTATTAACACTGGACACACTTCTGCTGTGATACCATCATCACGAGTAAATGATGGTATATGTGGTAAGATTCATTACATTGCTATAGTAAAAATAAAAATCTTATTATTTTTTACTAACAAACTATACATGTTGTTATTTTACAGTAGTTTATTCTAATAATGCATTGAAATAATAAGTAGGAATACTAATATTTAATAAAAAAAAACATAAAATAGACAAATAAACCATGTAAATCACATTTTTATAGATTGTTGTGATGGTTCCGATGAATGGATTAAACAAAGTACATGTAGTAGTACCTGTGAAGAACTTGGTCGTGCAGCTAAAGAAGAAGCTGAAAGGGTACATCAGTTGTATGTAGCTGGTTATGAAATACGAGAACAGTTAATCGCCAAAGGAAAAGAATTAAAGGCTGAAAAACAAGTATAAATTGTATTTATTAATTTTTTATTAGTAGGTAATGGTACTGGTAGGTAATGTGCATAAAATATTTTAACTTTGATGCAAACATTTTATTATTGTTTGGATTTATAATTTAGTACACACTTTCAATAGTAATGGGGATTAAAAAAAAAATGTTTATTAAATATTTATTTGAATCTTATTTTTCTTTGCGACAAGTGCGAAAATTCAAAATTATATTTGTTTTTTGCTAAGACTTTTATCTTTTCCACATAACTTAAAAATGAATAAGCGAAAAAATATTCAAAACGATTGTTTTTGCTGGTTTTAAATGTGCTTTACTATATAGTAATTTTGTACTACTATGGTGACCTCATATTTGTTAATTATATACAATATAATTATTCTAAGTAACTAATCTCACTACAATCTATACATTCAGTAAGTGTATGATAATATAATATAAGGTGTTTAATCAAAGCGGTTACCAAAAGTACTCGGTAACCAATAAAAGGCACATTTAATTTTGTATCAAAATTGATTGTATTTAACTTGCATACATTTAAAAACCCATAGCTCAAAAATCATTGAAATATTTTCCCCTTACTCAGGCTGTTCTATATTAGTATAATTAAGTGAACATTTTTGAAATAACCCTTTATGGTTACAATTTTTCCATTATTTTTTTTTTTATCCAATCAGACATATTAGTATAAAATAAAATTCATCTACTGTTGTTTTATTATTGAAGTTTTAAAATTTTACACAGGCCAGAATTTCCACGTTATTAGAAGAAGAAAAAATTGCTGATCTTGTAAAGAACAATACATTAATAAAAAAACTAGCAGCAGAAGAAGTCGAGAAAATAGCATTAGAAAAGTATCGTATTATGGATGAAGAAAAGAAGAAACAAGAAAAAGAAAAAGAATATGTAAACAATCAAAATGAAGCGTTTGCAGTGTTTAATGAAATTGATACCAATAACAATAATAAGTATGTATCTATAGTTATTAATTGTTAGGAACAAAGTGTATTATTTTCAAATGTTATATTCAGAATAGAAGAAGAAGAAGTGAATGCGTATACTACATTTGATCAAAATAAAGATGGTATAGTATCGCAGGATGAAAAAGAGGTAAGTAATATTTATTTTAAATTACAAACATTTCATATTAAACTTCAAAAAGTAAGTTTAATTCAGTAGGTAGTAAAAAGGTCAACGTAGTTAAAATCAAAACTCAAAAAGAAATGTACTTTAATAAAATGGGAAAAATACGGGATTTTTAAAAAATACATTGTAAAGAATGTGATAAATGCTATGTAGGTCAGACAAAACGAAATATTAAGTTCGGTTTAAAGAACACATAAGGAACATTAAAAACCAAGAAGTACACAAATCTCCTGTTGCAGAACATTTATTGGATACTAATCATAGCATCATATTAGTAAAATTATTAAAAAAATGTAAATAACTCTAAAAAACATAATATTAGGGAGACAATAGAAATGTTCAAATAGGAACAATTTGTTAAACTGGAACTTGAGTCCATTACAGAACATTTTATTTAAATGTATAAAACGTGTTGACGTGTTGCTATATATGTATAAAGAGGTGTTCACCCCGTAATCAGTCTTAGCCTGTCATTAGCACTGAAGATGACAACATTGTTGCCGAAATACATCTACGCATAGAATGTATTATTTTCATGGTTAAGGAGTTGCTTAAAGTTTTTTCTAGTCCTAATTTCACTGTAAATAAATGTCTAGTAATTTAATATTTGTATGTTATGGAATTTTCAAACATCTACAAGTATCCTCGATTTTTAATTAACCATACACTAAAAAATAAATATTTGTCTCTAGTATTTTATGGAAGATAAAAAAGAATTAAGTTTAGAAGATTTCATATCAAATGGCTGGAATCGCTTAAAACAGCTGCTGTTTACTCAATCAATTGATAAAAGTCCAATTGAGCAGTCTTCTAATGAAAAACAATTTGAAGACGAAGTAGATGATCTCCATGAAAATGATAATGAAGAAGATAATGAACAAGAATCAATTGATGATGAAGTTGAACACATAAGTACCACTGATGAAATTGATGAATCACAATATGACGAAGAAACAAAATTAAAAATTATCGGTAATAAAATATTTTTTACTTTTTTGAAAATGTTTTAAGTCTTAAAAATTTTTTAGAAGCTAAAAACATTAGAGAGTTATTTGAAGAGGCTGAGAGAAAAGTTAGAAATATTCAACAAGAAATTTCCCAATTACAAGAGTCTTTAAATAAAGATTATGGTCCTGAAGATGAATTTGCTGCTTTGGATAGACAATGCTTTGAACTTTCTGACCATGAATATGTTTACAAATTGTGCCTTTTTGATAAAGTATTTTCCTCATTTATCTAATTTTACAGTTTATTAGATCTATTAAATATTTGTTCATTTTTTTTTTTCAAAGGTGACTCAACAATCTAAAAATGGAGGGCCCGAAGTAAGGTTGGGTAATTGGAATGGATGGATTGGTGAACAAAAGTACCGCACAATGGTATATGATAAAGGACAGCATTGTTGGAATGGACCTCAACGTTCAACACATGTAAGACATATATTTATTAGAGGTAATGTAGTCGTAATAAAATTCTTTATTCAAAATAGGTAAGCTTAAACTGTGGACTGGAACCTGCCTTGATTTCTGTAACTGAACCAAACCGTTGTGAATATGCGATGGATTTTGTTATGCCTGCTGCTTGTGTTAAACACAATGAGAGACCATCTGCACCTATAAAAGAAGAATCTGAACATGATGAATTATAATTTCATCAATAACTCAATTGTTATTTTCCCTATTTTTTGAAATTTAAAAACAAAAATTATGTGAATAGATTAATGCGTTTTTTTTATATAAATTGTAAAAAAATATTTTTATTGCTACAAATTAAGTATTTGGTAAAAATAAATAAATAAATAATAAAAACGTAACAAAATATTTGATACTTTATAGCATCAATAATATATTAAATGTAATTTATGCTTAAAAAATTGATTCTTCTTAAGTCTGGTGTTAATAAAACTCTACAACTGTTAGATGTTTTTTTCTAAGGTATTGAAGGGGTAGCACAAAGTTTTAATTTTCATTTTTCATCAACCCTTGCTTTATTTCCCATTGATTTGAGTCGAAGATGAGGGTTAAAAATACGATTCATAACAATTTTATTACACATAATATATTTGTTATCGTACATTTAGTTGTAAAAAAACACTAGTATAGCAACGTTTGAGATGTCATTACAGGAACATTTCTATGTTATACTGCAAAAAACTATTAAATTAATACCATAACTATTAGGTTGCCATTTGATCCAAAATATAGGATGAATTATTTGTTGGAGCAAATGTAATGTAGAACAAACTCATTTGGAAAAAATGATGTGGGCCAAATGTATATTGGAACAATTACAATTTGTCCGTTGGCATAACTATTTAGCGGGAAAAAAGCTGGTTGGAAGTTGGAACAAATGTCTCGTCGAATAAAAAAATTGTGGAACAAAAGGTAGTGGTCCGATAATGACCATGATTAAAGATATTCTTATTCGTGATTTAAATTATATACTGTATGCATTGATAATAACATTTTTATTATCAATGACTGGTGTATTAATGATAATATCAAGGTGGATTTCTACATTGGATAATATTTATTGCAAGGTAGATAAATCCACCTTGATATATTGTTATATTTTGTTAGTTGTTTTGATATCCGATATCACTATATTATAGAGAGAAGAGAATGAAGTGGATGCCAGTTTATTTTTAAAGTCCTCATTAGTCATTTTTTCTCCTCAACTTGTGTACGGAGTATTTCGTACTTCGGACATGTGTAATACCTATATAGTTGACTGCCAATGAATTAGAGTCTCGTTTATGTAACAGCCAAGAGGTAATGCAAAGAGTAATAATATGCAACAGTTACAGGCAACACCTATTCATGTTTTAAGGTGAAACACATCTGATGAATAATATTATTCTACTTGGAAAAACAAAATGGACCAGTTACCTTCAGAGGTAAAAATGTATTGTGTGAAAATATTCAAACTACTATTGTAAATTTCAGAAAAAAAACTTTTTTTATTTGTAGATAATAACTCTTATTCTGGAATACTTGTCGTTTGATGACCGAAGACAGATGGCATTAGTCAATAAAACATGGTATTATGCATCTCTACATCCATCATTGTTGAAAAAAGAATTGCTAACGTATTATGAAAAGACTACCGAAGTAAAAGGACAACCGACCCATTCATTTACTACACATGAGCTTGAATTATTTATAAATATGGTGTTGCAAACTAGGAGAAGACTGTTGAACTTGAAATTTTGCAGTCTGATTTGTTTAAAAGATTTATCCATTTTCGAACAATTAGGCGACAACATCGTATCGCTATATTTGTGGGATTTATATTGCTTGACTGATGATCTACTTGACGCCGTGGTAAAATGTCGAAATTTAGAGACGTTAGAATTAAAAAATATTAGTTCTATTTCTATTACTGTTAAGTCTCGAGAACCACTTCTCAAATTAAAACGACTCGATTTTAATCAAGTAAATCCGTCTGATAGGGAATTTAATCAGATAATCCTATGTGCACCGAATCTCAAAGATATAGGCTTTAGTGATTGTATTTTAATAGAATGGATACAAGCAATCCAACGATTTTATCCTAATTACAGAAATAACGAAATAACAGAAGAGTATAATTCTGATGACATATTTACTCCAAAGAATATAGTTAAACATTTAAAAAATCTCAAGCACTTAAACATTTTGAGGCTAAACCAATGTTGTGACAGGTTTTTACAGTTATTGAACATATTAACTCTTGAATCGTTGACATTGGATTTGGTTAGCATAGCTTCATCTAATTACAGTTATTTAGAAAAATCTATAGCAACACACATATCACTAATTAGCTTAGAAGTCATTAATTGGCCTTACGCATTGTTACCAGCTATAACAAAACTGTATAATCTTAAACACCTAAAACTTATTTTAGCAGATTTTATAGTCGATGAAAATGATACTAATCACGTTATTAATTTTACAAAATCTTTAAGTAATTTAAAAAGCTTAGAAAAATTAACAATAGTACCTTTTGTAGATCATCCTTTTTTTCCAAAAGTTAATATTCCTGACACAATATTAGTATCATTGAAGTCATTGGACTGTTATATCGATTCTGGTATTAAACTCTCAAACTTGGGACATAATTTAACATATCTAAGAATTAGAAATGGAAACATCTTAACAACAGAACAGTACAAATTGATTTTTAAAAATTTAACCAAATTAAGGTACCTGCGGATTGGTTATTGTCGTAACATGAATGATGATATAATGTTAGGGGAATCTTCTCAAGACCAAAACTGTTTAATATCAAATCTCAAAGGTACATTTGGTTTTTATTAACTATACCTGTATAATAAATTGTGAAATATTGATTTTAGGATTGGTTTCTTTAACAATTTTGGGAGCAAAATTATCGCATACATTTTTACGCTCGATTAAACTTCAAGATTTAAAACATTTGAACATGAATGAAATGTCAGTACGGGACTGTATAGAATCGGTTTGTATAGATTTCTAAAAAAATGTTTAAATTCTTAAAACAGGGTCGGTCTGGCGCCTAAAGGGCACCCAAAACAATGTTATCTGTACATTTTATAGGTTTAACACAATTGTACAGTGGTTGTACAATTGTGTAAAACATATAAAATGTGGATTTGCTACACTTTGCATATTGTGTTAAATTCCAGGGCCCAAGGATGAGGAGTCTTTATAGGTAATTCATAAACGTACATCTGGGGATTATTTTTTGATATAGCTTTTTAATATTTTTTTATTATAAAAATAATAATAAAAAAAAAATGGATTTGAAAAACCCATGATGATAATATACGCCGTGTATTATTGTTTAATGTTTTCTAATATTATCTTTACAAACAAAATAGTATGGGCGTGTGGCATCCTCTTAGGTTCTAATTAAATATTATGTTAATAATAGTGTATTAAATTTACAAATAGAGGATGCAGAGGTTATGTCCACCAAACCGATTTTAATTAGATTTTAACTAGAGATTACAATTATTACACAGGTACCCATGTAAATAAGAAATGTAAAATACTCATGGAACAATACTGTAGATAGCTAGGTTTTAACCTGTTATTATTGAACAAATGATCCTCATCTAATTTATTAGAACAAGGTCAGTTTTATTTAAATTTCAAATTATCTTTGTAACTTAGACATGCACCTTAGTAAGCATAAATGATTAGTTATGTTTGTCCAAACTTATAAGCTAATCAAATGTAAACTGCAAATGCCCTAAATAATATTATAGAAAGCGCAAAACTATCAGTAAAGATGTTATTTCAAATAGTTAACGACCTAAGATAATGATGTTATTAAAACAAATAAGTACTTATCTCCTCATCGAAACTTGAATTGTTACAAAATCATTTATATGTAAGTTTTTTTTTGTTTTTAGAAAAGTTTTACTGAATTTGATGATACTTTAAAACAACTAGGCTTCAATGTACCAGCATTGAAAAATCTTCAATTAGGAATACGTCGTGATGAATATAATTTACTCGGAGAGCAACGCGTTACTATTTTTGAGTCTCCTTCTAGAGTTAAAATTATTAAAACTTATTTTAGAAAATTACTTAATTTATTAATAACAAATTATTAAATGTAAATATGCATTTTTGTTATTTAGTGTTATTATAATTTATTGTGGATAATATATATATTTTTTTTATATATATTTGTTAAATATTTTATTGATCATTGTTAGTAATGTCAGTAGCTATAATTAAGGGGATTGGATACCAATTATTCCCGCCTCTGTTCACCTTGTGGGCCACATAGGAATTTACTCTAGCAATAAGAACCAAAATTAAATTTTAATCAAATTGAAATGCGTTAAAATTTAAAAAGTAAAAAACCCATTAGCAATTAATTCTGTTTTCAATTTCCTCATTTCATCAGTAAGTCGATCGGTACGATGGACAAATCAATATCTACATCCATATGTTGTGTGTGAGATACAACAGAGACAGAAATTGGTATTCGATCCTCTTAAGGTGTTTATTTTACCCCCACATGCATACTACGATTTTATGAAAATTAATGTTTATTAAAAAACTGATTACCATCTTATTATAAGATTTTATTTCACAGTAATAATTTTAATTTAATAAATACTGATTAACAGTAAATTCAAATTAAGAAATTATATTATATAATTATAATTATCGAATGTAATTAATTATTTAACATTATTCGTGACTAATAAGATTAAACTCTTGTATATTTGTTTATAATACCAAAGAACAAATAGTATTACAGATTACTTCTAATATTTATTCTTAATTAAAACAACATTTTGGTAATTAATAAATGTGATCAACATCATCTAATGCCAACTCTGGTTTATCATATCCAAGGGCTTCGGGTGTATCGATACCCAATTCTTCGAGAGTCGGGGAAATTTCTTGCAAAATATATGGGTAAATTTTGTTATCAATTTGGCTCTTGATTCTTACATTTTCGAGGAATCTGATAGCCAGGGCATAATCATTAATGCGACGACAAGCTTTCAATGCTGCAATAATAACCTAATAACAGTCGTTATAAAATTATTATTATTTTATTTTATACATTGACTTTTTAATTAATATAGAAACAAACCTTAGGGTCAGCAACTGCATCTTGACCAGCCAGATCATTCATTGCTTTTCTTGCTTCCCAACCGTCAATATCATTGCGATTAAAGTAAGCTTCATATCTAGAGTAAAATTCCTCATCGCTTTCTTCTTTGACTTCCGACATAAACCTTTTATGAATAATAAGTTGCAATACAATACTTTTACATACAAGAAATTTATGGATTTCATCTTTAGTTTGTAAATTGAAAAACTAAAATTTACCTGATGGAGACGGCCATTGGTGTAGTTGGTTTAAATGTAGACTGTTTAATTGCAAGAGGTCCTCGGGACATTTTTACACATGTTCTTACAATATTAGAAAACATTTTTGGTTATTTATTTTGAAATAGAGAAAAGAATTAATGGTACTAAATAGATTAAATATTCACAGGACAGGTCAAAGTGTTTTATCTAAAAAGCGTAATATTCTGAAATCTTGTCGGACGAAAAAATTTAACATATGGAATTTAGTGAGGTTATAACTATGATAAAATGTCAAGGAGGATGAAAAGCATATTTTGTTGGCGTTATCAGCTGTTCGGCTGGCAATATCAGCACAGAACACGATTAAGAGGACGCCACACCGGCCATTTCTAAGGAGTAAAGTATAGGCAATTTTTCGAAAAATCTTAATTTAGAGTTTGTGAACTAAATGTATACTTATTAATACAGTAATGAGAATACTTTGTCGGTTGCAATTTTTTTTGTCAGACTATCACAGTCATGTCTATAGGATAAATTACAATTTTTTCCCCATTAAAACTGCTTTGCGCGGATTAATTTTTCTCAGGCTTCATATATAGTTAAGGAAAGAAATTCATACATATTATTTATGACAAAATTATCTGTGTTCCATCATCCGTATTTTTTCGATATACCTAATACAACCAACGATAAACCATTTTTAAAAAAGTCCTGTTGTCGCGTATTCCAGTGGTATCGTCGGAATCTTGAATACCATTCACAAAAAAACTTCAATTTCCTAATCGTTTGTCTTAAGGGGAGGGTATGGTTAATTCGTGCAAAAAACGGCAAATTTTTGTGAATTTTTTTTGACGACACGGTTAAAATCTGTTTATTAAAACTAATGGTACATTAAAGTATAACATTCGAAGAATATTGTGTAATATTTTCATGTAGAAATATTAAAAAATACGGCAATGGCGGCAATTATTTGGAAGCGTCTCGGAAAAAAGTAGAATTGCGGTGCCCCTCAAAACTCGATGCTGGATCATCCGAAATTAAAAAAATCAAGTTCTTTCGTTAGATAATTGCTTTCCTCAGGTAACGCTGGGAGGGTTTTTTGAAATTTCAATTTTTCACTTTTTGGGAACACTTTGAAGGGAAAAACGCGATTTTTGCGAAAAAAATCGGCTAATTTGTTATTGTAAAATAAAAAATATTAACAAATTTGAAAAAAACTTTCCAGCGTTACCTCGTTAGTTATGCACTGAAATAGTGTTCAAAATTTCAAAAGGATCGGTGTAGTAGTTTTGAAGTTATGGTGGTCACCGACTTTGAAAACGTGAGTTGTTGGAAAAACGCTTTAAAGTTAACGTTAGTGCGCTCGGGTCGGGCAGCTATAAAATTCCGACAACTCATAACGTCGTCAATTTTGTTCCGATCGACTTGAAATTTTGACACAATATTCTTGAGATATTATGCATTCAGTTAACAAAAAAAAAAAATTAAAAAAAAAAATTTTTATACCCTCCCCTCCCTTAATCTGTACGAGGCCGGGTACACGGGCAGCTAGTATATATTTATTTTCATATGGCTATTCGTCCGGTAGTAGGCTTAATTCAGATACCTGCTTAGCAGAATGGGTTGGTCACTCGTAGGTTTTTGCCATAAACCCAATCTAAACCTTTTGCATCTTAGTTCCGAATTGACAGTTTTCTATGAATTTTTGATACGCCGTTCACAATGATAAAATAGTGATCGATTTTTTTTTAAAGCTTCAAATAAATAAAAAATAATCATTGCTTTAACTTTTACTTCAACAGTTTTTTTGTCAAAAAATTTAGTGATTTTTTCAGAACTTACTTTCAAAGTTTAGCTTCGAAAAAGGGCTGAGAAAGTAATGTTTTTACAATGATGTGTTTTTCTTCTTTTTCTCTTAGTTTCTGAATCCACGATATCTTCTAAGCCGCTGAGCTGATTTTTTCGTGCAGCATTTATTTAGACCAGAAATCGTACCATAAAGGTATATTACTGGGCCAAAAATTAAAAAAGTTTACCCCTTACACTTCAAAATCGAGAAAAACAGCCAAATAATGTACATATTTTCATCTTAACGCTCTATACATTTTTTTAAAAATGTTGAATTAGTTCTAAATTTGTATGAATATTTATAGTAGGTACTACCGATAAACGATTGCAAACCAAAAAATGATCATGAACTCTTTACCCTAGATACCTATTTTTTTAAATTTCATAGTAATATGCATGAAAGACCTCCAAACAGTAACAATTTTTAAAAGCTTCGTGTCTAACAAAAAAACATGTCAAAAGAAAGGGTTTTATATAAATTAAAAAGCGATAATAATTGTTTTTTTGCCTTAAATATTAATAATATTAGTATACTGAAATTCAAGTTTTAAATTTCTTCAATGAAAACATTTCCTACACCGAACTCCTCTTAAGACTTAATGGGAACAGAACGGAGTAAATACTTGTAAAGTAAATATTATCACTGTAATATTAAAGAAATATTGCCAATGGTCGCTGCGATTAAATACAGGATTACCTGTCTATAATTGGTTTTTTAAAACTGTTTTGAACTTAAAATAGGTAGGTAAACTATAAAAGTGTACGACATGTAAAAATATATAACCATATTAAAAAAAATTGACTATTATTATTACTAAAGGTACCTACCATAAAAAAGGGAAATATTCAATAGGTACTAGTAGTGTTCTTTACACTACTGTAGACATTGCTGATATCTGTAGTTACTGTACTATGTCAAAACAAAAAAACCAATATTGCAATAGAGAGCGCTAGCATATCCTCAATATTAAAAGTACGCATTAAGATTTTGGATTTATCATAATAATTCTCATACGTTGTGTAATATGAAAAATATTAAAATATTAGTTTTTTAATAAAGTTAAACAAAAATTATAACGTTGTACCTAGGTCCTGGTGTATACAGTTTATTATTAATAATACATTTTCTATAAGAAAAATAATAAATTGCATTATAGTATAATAAGAATTTGTTACATTAACCATGATTAATGATGTACCTACATATAACTATAATTGTAGTATGCATTTAAAAATGTCTAAGCGGCACAACACAATAATATATATTTTTAGAAATATTTAAAGCCAACAATTGCAGCTTTGAAGGGTAGCTGTTAAATGTTTGAATAAATACTGTAACTGTATTATGTAGACTATTATTTATACATAAATACTTTGTTTATTTTATAAAACTAAATATATCAATAAAATGTACTTCATTTTTTGCTATGTTTACTTAAAATTGTAACTAATAATTCTTTAATTCTTACTATAGATGAAAAAAAAATATCTAATTTTAGTTAGAAAATGTAAATTATGATGCTCGTATAAAGTATCTAATTTATGACTAAGAGTCTAAACGATAAAAACTTTTGAAGCATTTTTTTGTAAAGAATTTAAATATGAATAGTTTTAAAAATGACTTTGTTTAGATTTATAAGCATTTATTTTTGAAATATAATTTTCTTTGAAAATATAGAAATAAATTTGTTTTTAAGAAAATAATTTAAATGTTTTTGTCTAATCTAAAAATCTATATATTTTCATAAATTAAATTATCATCGACATTTATGTTTGATTGAAAAATGAAAGTATTTTGTAGTTTATAGAAAAATATTAAATACATATACATAACAAAATTTCAATTATAATATATTTGTATGAAATAATTAAATAAAACTTAGCCGCAGAGTAAATTTACAAAAAACATAATACTTAGGGGGGATTCGAAGTCTTAATGAATTCATTACAATTTATAATATAATTCGATTAACAGCTTTGATTTTTATAAAAACATAATAAATTATCAATTTTAATGATATTATATGATAAAAAAACTATTTTATATGTGCTCAATAAGTAGGATAGTATGTGTATAATTATTATACTCATTGATCCCCTTCGTCTTATCGAATATTATAATAAAAAAAGATAAACTGAAAAAACACTTGAAAACCAAAATTCTTAGTTGACTTGATTTTACTGACTTAATAGTGTTGTCGACTAAAACATTAGTTCAGTCAACTTAAATTTAGTTACTTTAACAACTTAGTGTTAGGTAGCGTCAACTTTAAAATTGTTGGTTGTCACTGATAAACCCCGAGATAAAGCCAATTTTTTGTAGATGAAACACATTTTTCCCATTGTAAGAACCAAAATTTAAATATATTCTATGAACTATAAAATTCACAATATATGTTATTATTTCGGAAAATAATGCGGTTAAAATCTGTGAAAAGTTCAAACTTTTCAAAGTTTCTGTACCCTAAGGGATTTGTGTCTTCGTCGTCTCAAATTTCAAAACGAATTAATGTAACTGCATAGTATTTTCTTCTACCTTTGCTACATTTCTCTAAGAATGGAACTATTCAGTTCTTAACGTGTCAAATTTAATGAAGCACGTTCATCATCTCCAGCGGCCGTTGCTGTCAAGCGCACGAAGACAACATATGCTTTCAACAGAGCGATGTGAACCTGTCAACACGTTGGACTGTTCTTATGCTGCTTATAATTATTATTTGTACTTAGCTGTATGTCATATTTGACGCATTTGATTTGTAAAAATGTTAAAAGTCCCTATTAAACAAAACTAGACAATGTGCGTTGTAAATGAGAAATAATTAGTTAAAATACATATAACTATTTTTAAACAATGTTCTCAAAGTAAAATCTATAACTAAGCTGCTTTAATTTGTACACACACTTAATACTTTATTGTAAATAGGTATGCATAGGAGTACTGTGAAAGTAATGTGTAATAGAGAAAATGTACTTCCTATAAATATGTTCATTTAAATAAATATCATACTAAAATAACAATTACTGTAAAAAGAACCTTAGTGATGCTTTAATAATTGACCAGATGCCACGGATCCGGGAGTGATTGCAGGTTACTTATTAGTACTTTGTGTGTAAAACCATTAGTATATTTACTCATAGATACATAATAACAATCAAGTTGTTGTTATATCTGAAGTTTAATCAATAAGTATTAGCTTTAAAGATTATTTATAAGGAGACAAATAATGTGTAAGAATATTTTCCAAAAGTCAATAACGAAAAAATACCACACCACCATCCACTGTCCCAGGATATAACTCTTGTTAGATCAAACGTTGTCAAACCAACTTAAGTCGTAAAAAAAAAGTCAATATTATAAAATATTGTTCAAAAATAAATTAAACATAGATTATATGGTTTAAACCGTTTTTATTTTAAAACATAAGCAATTGACTTGAATGTGTACTTTGAAAAAAATGTAGACATCTCATTATATAGGTACAATGTGCATTATGTACACAACAGAGGTAAATTCAGGCCAATAATCTTAGCTGTCGAGACCTTTAATAAATAAATAAATAAAGGTAGATGCCGGTTTTTCGTATTTATATTAGCCGTACGAGAAAGCATTGTTAAAACATAATACAGACTTCTCAATGTACTTTTGACGTGCAATTATTCAAACAAATACTTTTGTTACCAAATAATAATAGGTCGTTATTTAATCAAAATAATATTATGAAACGTTATTTTATTATAATAATAATTTTTTTAACGTCACGCTGAGCAGAAAAGTTAAAAAAAAAAATGTTCATAGCCGTCCACGACTTTCGGTGAACTCTCATCTTCCAATTCCGCCATACGGTCCCTTTTATCCTACTTAAATATAAATAATGAAGGGGATTAAAAGTCTTTAAAACTTTTTCTTGCCCAAAATTTAGTGCTCTGACTTGTCTACTAAAAATTAACATATACTTATTCAATCATTTTATTTAAAATACCAAATAACTTAAAGTTAATATAGTTATTATAATATTAGGCTTGCGTTTTTCTGGTTGTTCTCAGGACAATAGTTATTTTTTATTTAATTATCGCTAACTTAATTTATTTTACAATTAATATAATATTATATGATAATATGATCTATTATTATCAAGCGCATATATGAATTAGTCAAATAGTGTTAACTCCAGCGGCATAATAAAAAGGTTAAGCCCTTTACTATTTAGTACCAATAAAAACGTGATATCAGAGTAGAATATTGACATCGTGGTGGGACTTCACAGACATAGGAAAATGGATATTCTCCTATTAGCCCTCCTCTAATTGTTCTATCGGATTACTCTAATAGTAGGTATCACAAACAGAACTTTATAGTATATTGTAACTCTGTTGAAACATTCAATACTGAGGGAATCAGTCCCTTCTAATCAAGTTAGACTGCTTACGCACTGTGCCACACAAGTAAACGCTGTAACACGTAACAAGTTTCGGCTAAATTTTGTAATAAACCAATCGATTATAATAATAATAATAATAATACCATAATTTTCCGAGCACAAATAGTTCCTCACGTTCACTTAAAACTATGTAGTTTATTAAATACATTTCATATTTTTACATCAAAATACTGATGACTTTTAATACAAATGCCAATTTATCATAATCCATTATTGTCCATCAAGTTAGCACGGTATTACAATTTAAAGCTTAAACGATGATAGCAAAAGACGTATAGTTCTTGCAGACAACCGAACATGCTGTTTACTTTTTTCAATTATTTTTAAAAATGTTTTGTTACATCTTCTTTTAAATTCGGGATAGCCATTTTATTAAGAATAATTTGCTGAGAATTTTGATTGGTTGATAAACAGTTTTGAGTTATTATTTTTTAAGTTATTAAATGTTAAAATTTAATACGGCATGTAGAGTGCGTTAAAGCAATGCGCGTTGAACATTTTGGTTAGGTTTAGCACGCTTAACTATGTTTTTTTAACTAACTTATAGACAAATAAACTATTTGTTAAATTACGACTTGATTCTAACATAAGAATACTAAGTTTAATTATTACAATCTCATTAACATCCTTGCCAGCCATACCAATTTTATTAGCAATCATATGCAGAAAACGTTTTTGAAATGTTTTAATTAATTTTTAAGGCACACTTGGAAAGGTTTCCAAACAACAGAACTAAATTCGAAGACCGATCTTACCAAGGATATATATAATAATGCTGACCAGTATTAAGGATTCTTAAAATCGATACAGTTACGGTTTAAAAATTATATTAAAGAATTATTCATCGCCAGTCGATGTACTTAACTCGCTAGGGTGATTTTTATTCTGTTTTTGTTTAATATCATTTTCCATGTATGAATTGAGTTTAAGTTGAGCAATGTGGAGGTTTTAGAAGACGGAGAATCTATTTTATTTTGACTGAAGGTGATAAAAATAGTAGAAGTGTACCATTTGCTTGAGGTAATGTGAAGTAGAAGATATTGATGGCCGATGGGTTTGAAACCAACGATGATTGGCGGCTAAAAGTAGGTACGTTGCATTTTCGTTATGATAACAGATAATGTTATCCGTAATATATTACAATATTTATTATTCATGTTATATATTCACGATAAAATGTATACCTTGATGTCCGAAAAAAAGGAAGCCACTATTGCTTTTTTGAACTGTAAGTTGCAATTTCAAAGCTTTTATATGTGTATGTATGTTATCATAGTGATATGTTACGAATTAGAATTTAGAATATTGGCTAACTTGACCGGACAATATGGGTGCACATCAAACGTGTCTATAGATGGCTAAATTATAATTAATATTTTCTTTTTTTCGAATCTAATATAAATTTGCAAACAATTTACGGGGTGGTTTTCCTAAGGTTTATGGTGAAGGTATTTACCGTGCTACTAGTATAGCTATATAATAAAGTAAAATATGCATCACACGGTCGGCGGCGTCTAGCCTCGCCTAAGTATAACACGTGCACGTGTGAAGGCTAATTTTGAATAATGTAAATATCATGTACAAAGCTCGTTTAGCTCGACGGTACCGGCACACATAACTCGCCCGTAAAATAATTACCTGCCCTCCTACCTGTCGGGAGACCCTTCGTTTGTTATTATTTTTATCCCGTTTTTTATTTGTTTTTTGTGTTAAATGTACACTCACCACTATTCGGACAAGACATAATGTCATGATGAATCATCGCTCAACGACGAAACGTTCGACTTAGGGGTAAATGACTCACCGGAGGTGGTTATACCATATAATATCAAATACATTATTATTATTATTACATGTTCACATACAGTAATATAACACGGCGCACCACCGAGTGATGGCCAATCGTCATCAAACCGCACACGCACATGGCGGTGAATCATGTGTTCGGTTCCCCCACCCTAGACACACAACGGTTTTAGACATACAAAAATATTCGTTTCACACACACACTCAAACTCACACGTCGGAGGCAAGCATAAAATAATATTATACACACACACACACACACACGAGTCACTTGTGTGGACTGAGTAACAATATCTAAACGACAGCCAAACGGTCTTGCAGTAGTCCCATGTGGCTTTGGCTCGACGATACCGTGTGGATAACCGTGTCCGGGCGCGAGCGAGTGCAGCTTTTTTTCTCTGTTCATACCCCGCTGACCTTATGTGTGTACACTGGTCGACAGCTTTAATATAATAGTATAAACACAAAAATATTATTGTTCATCGCAAATGAATGTGAAAAAATTGTACAGCCAAATGAAATTTCGGAAAACGATCGAGTGCGACCGCCGGTAAAACCGTTATAGGACTTACATTTTCATTGCCGTGGAAATTTCGCATGGGTTTACGGGTTGGCCATTTCGGACGACCGGCATCGATAGTATTGTTTTATCGTGATAAAATGAACCGTCGACGATAACATGAAGTGGATTTTAATTGTTTATATATTTAGCGTTTTAATTCGAGACGGACGCGGTGAGTACAACGGTTTAATTATTTTGCAATACAAAATACTAGTTTTATGTTTAAAAATATGTTGTATACTTTAACGCTTAATAATTCTTCTAGTCCTAACAAATTACTTGTAATATTTAAGCCCATTTGTTGGCCGCTCCACTTTTATTTTACTAATTATTTTTCGACTTAGACCAATCTAAATATTAACTAGTTACGATTTCTGAACGACAAATATATGCTATTTGAGTAAAATATACTTGCCAAGACCATAAATGTCGAAGAAGTTTTTTCACTTTCCCATTGAAACGGAGAAAACATCACAAAAATTGATATGTTTGGCCATTTTTAAATATGGCATGTTATAATCAAAAAAAATTCATAAGTCAAAATACTCCCAAGTGCACTTGGAATTTTTTTTTAAATATAACCATCGATTTGGAGTGGGAGACCAAAAAAAAACAAACATCTAAGAACCCTAAGAAAGGGTGGAAACACTTTTTAGTTCCCTTTACAAAGCGATAGTTTTAGAGATGTGTTCTGACATCTAGACGAGAGATAGTTCTAGTGTGTACATGTAAATAATAATATTATATTAAACTTTCCAGTCATTTTATTTTTTATTGAGAAAAACTAAACAAAAACAAAATATAATAAAATTATAAACGAAACATTGGCTTTATGTAAGTTTTTATTGTTATTGGTTTTCTCTCGAGTGATTGTATCACTCTCATTCGTAATAACTTTTACAATCAACCCCTACTCTACTACGCCTCGTCAAAATTATGTAAGCTTTTTTTATTTCTACACCGATTTTTATTAATAAAAAAAAACATTAAATTAGGTCACTATTTGTCCATTTTTTATTTTCACATGTCCACTGTTTCATATATCGATAGTCACTATTGCAAGTTGTCATGCATAGCTATAAAAACAAGCCGATAGACAAATATTGCGCTTTGGTACTACAAAATATATTGCAAAGAACTTCTAGGCAGTTATTTAAATAATTTATTATAGTATTTATGTTTTTTAAATATAATTGGAAAATGGTAAACTACCAAAACTATCGACGTGATCTAATGAAAAAACACAACCGACAGACACATTGTTAGTAATAATATCAATTCATTTTTTTTCTATACCATATAGTATTTAAAAAACAAAAATGTAATTTATCATGACACGGTGGTGACCCTCGACAAATATTACAAACAAGGGGATAAAACTCCCTTTACATTTTTTTTCCGTGTACCGTATGATTACTGTAAACATTGTTTACATCCCTCGTGTGATTTCTCTTCGACACTTTAAATTAGGTTATCATTTTATAAAACCTATTTTGGTAATAGTTTTGTTTCTAACTTTAATTTTTCGTTTTTTTTCTTTAAAATTTGATTTTAATTAATATTTTTAAAATAGTAATAATTTTAGTTTAATTTAAGTGTGATATAGACATGTTTGTTGTATATACTGCGTTATAGTATTATATTAATTTATGCGTTTTGAATAACAAGTGGAAATCCACTGTGTGTATACATTTTATTGTTCGAGTGGGGGATATGATTAAGTGATTTTGCAAACAAATACTAGAATGTTTAAACGATATCATCAAATACCGGGCGGACTAGCTTGACTGTATAATATTACGTGAAATTAATAGTACACCGTCAATAACCCAATTATAATAGTATACAAGCTACACCGCTGTAAAATGACTGATATATTGACATTTTTATGAAATATGTCTGCATACAATTGTTTACAAATTTTCGCCTTAATCTAGTTTGGTTATGCAGTCTATTTAAATGTATGTTGAAGCTTATCATTATTAAAGAAACTTATGTAATTTATACTAATAATTAATACGTAAACATTACTCCTGGGAAAGTTATTTTCTAAAGTGATAAACGGTTCTTTTTTGTTTTTAATTTTAGTTATATATATATATATATATATATATCAATATTTCTGTATAATACTATATACATTACAATTTTTTTTATGCATTTACTAGGTTATTGTTACGGATATTGAGTTATCTTAACGATAAATCATTTATAGCCAACAGTTAATTGGGATAATGCGGTCACTAGAAAAATAGTAGTAGTCATTTGTTATAGACGTTATTTGAATGACTTTGACCATTGATAAAAAACCTTTCTAGATAATTTTTATTCTCGCGGAATGCTAACAAGTTATATTTGTTTTTATGTATAGATAATGATATATAGTAAATAGTTACATTGATTTCCTTCTCAGAAAGTACGGTTTTGTCGAGAGTACTCGACAAGACATCATCACTTTGATATAATAGGTTAATTGTTCTATAGGCTGTAATTGTCTGAAAACTATATAAGTCTGTATGTTGTCTTCTGACGATGAAATCGTATAATATTGTTCATTTGTTAAGAACTTACAACTCAGTCGTAAAAAGACATTCTATACGCTGTTTAGTGCATATTGTTTGTAACCATCTTTAAACCTACACAGACTGTTCCCCTCAAATCACTCATTTATTTCATGGCTTAATATGTCATGTATTTAAATTATAGGGTACTTTAGATTTCCTTTGTTTTTTTTTTTAAATTTTACACTTCACTGCCGGTGAACTACAAGAAACTGCTACCAAAAAGTGAGCAATATTATTTTTAAAGTAAATTTAAACATAAATCATATTATACAGATAAGTATAACAATTTACAGCCATTTACCAAACCTAATATTTTTTATTTATTGCTTAATTAATATTGTTTACAATTTACACAGCTATACAATTCGTTATACGTTTTAGATTGATCATAACTAGTATATGATTCATGTATAATAATTATAAATTAATTAAAACGAGCGTCAGTCAAAAACTTTAGCCGCAACAGCTAAATATATTAATATAATTTCTCACTGTCGTGGGACGAATGTTTTTTTTTAATGCGTAGTAATAATAATAGTTCATCCAAAACATTATTTTCGGAATTTTAAAGAATAAAATGTTTAAGAGGTTATCGTAGTTTGAATTTTATTGTTTCTACTAACCAGTGTTTTTTTTTTTATACAAATGTCAGCTTTATAATAATTATTATATAAATAGATATAGGTATAACATACACTATTTTTCTGGCCCAAGGTGGCGTTTTTGTTATTACCATGTACTTTACTAAATGGAGGGCACGGGGGAAGAAGGGCAGCAGTCCAATTATGACAATTTTCCAGGAGAGTAAAAAAAAACAAAGTTAGATTGCGCGTACAAATCTATACGTCAACCGTTTTCAAAGCGCTAAGTTGACCCCAATATAACCACTCTTTCACCAAATGGATTTCGACATTAAAAAAAATGGACTACTACCCTTCATCATCTGTGCCCTTCAAATGTTTATAGTTCAAAATACAGTCTATCTTATAGACGAATATCGATTACCTACTGCACTTTACAGTTACTAAAAAAATACAAAATATTATTTTATCTTTTATCTAAGAGGAATTTTTGGACTACTAAAATCAACCTTTATATGAGTAGTTTTTGTTGAGAACTAATCTGATATAGTAATTTATTATTACTTAATTATTTTAGAATGTAAAAGAATAAATATTAAATACTTGACAGTGTTTTGTATAAATTTAATTTTCATAAATGAATCTTAGGATAGAATAGCGATCAAGCAATGGTTTGCTTGTTGTTTAAATGAAGGTTGGCAGTTTGTAATATGTTATATAAAAAACATTTTTCATAACTAATAATACATGTGATATATATATATTGTAATTTTGTGCATGAATTGAATTGCAATTAAAAACTATAAATTACAACTGTCATAATTCATATTTATGTTTAATATTATTACATTAAAGTTGGAATAATGATACTTGTATATTGTATAATAATTATTAACCCTTTTGTCGTTAATGTTAATTGTTCTAATAACCACATAATATATTATCTTCTTGGCCTTGAATTATTTAATATCAATGCCACTTTATGCGCACCGCGAACAGATAAACCTCGGTTAAATTTCCTTAGATATGGCGATGAAAGGTCATTCTGTGGACTTTCTTAGGTCTTAATATTAAAGAGCAGGTTATTAAGGACCTGTGTATTTTTGGTCGAAAACAACACATTCTATTTTTAACCGTACTCTAAAACGCGTAATCCGATAATAGTTTTGAAAACAGAAGTACATTTTTGAATACTTACTCTTTTGAATTACTTGCTTGATGTAATGGTCGAAGTACATTTTTAATTATCGTTTTCAATGTTATTGTAAAAATCATTTAAAAAAACTTAAAAAATTGCAATTTTTTACATAGAAATTATTAATTAACTAAAAATAATTTTAGAACTGTGCCACGGTCGTAAATGTTATGAAGAATCCAAATATTTTTCAAAACTTAAATTGTATTATTTTTAATAACGTTCTGTTCGAAGTAGGAACATGTTTTTTTACAAAAATAGAGCATGCATACCGTTATAGAAGTTAAAAAAAATAATATCCAATATCAAAACAGTTCCCTCTTTCCTATGTTAATACTTATATGTTCACAAATTTTAGTTTAGTGTTAAGTTTTAGTGAAAAATTTCCTATATAATGCGCCTTAATAAATATTAGTGTAGAGGCCCTTTAATGTTTGATAATATTACACTTCGTTATTTACGATTACTAGTTTAGAGACAATAAGAGTTTTTATACATTCAACTATATAGTTAATTTATAAACAGACACATTCATTAAAACAAATAAACTGTGCATTTCATTAATAATTTGCGTTTCAAAACTTTTTGCGCTATAGCTTTTAACACGACTCAGAATACAATTGTTATTAGGCAAACACGTATGTTTTGTAATACTATTTTCTGTTTTTATAACTCGTATAAGTTTTATTATCTTGTTTATTCTACCTGTATCTCAATAATTATTTATAATACCGATCATTACACTTTTTATTAAATGAGAAGTTATATGCATCTCGTGGGTATCGATTTTTAATTCTAATTAAGTACAATTGATTAGAATAACGAAATTTAT